TGTTCATCTCGATCCGTTCTACTTTCTCACGAGCTCGTGGACAAATGTTATAACTCACCCTGTATACAGCGTCAAAATGGAGAACCGGCTCCATTGATTCGTAGACACAAATAGCGGGAGGATTCGGTGCGCGTGGTGTGAGTGCGATAATATATGCATGGAATACTTGTGCGACGTACCGGTGGCGCTGTAGTGTCGATAGCTCCCTCGGTATTTCATTGGAACTCACGAAAGTCTTTAGATGTATGGATAAACAATGCATGCAACGCATTCCCGTTTCTATCCACGGACGAAACTTTTTCCATTATCCGCGCGAATGCTTTTGTACTTAAAATTTACCAATTCCAGTTTAAATCTACAATCTCGGCGATAAAGATCTACAATCTTTAAATATGTTTGGATCATCCTCGATTATGATGTCACGAAATTTGTGATAAGAAGCATGAAATTTCGTTTATCAAAGTGCAATCCCGGGGCAGGAGTTAATCAGGTTCACGTGTATCCCGTGCTGAATCTAAATCAATTTCTGATATCGATGGAATTAACCTTCCCTTCGGCGCACTCGACTCGTTGAAAATCAGCGAAACTTCACTCCATTTATTTTGCTTTCCATTGATCCTCATAGACTAAAGAAAAGGAGAAAAACTTTCGAGCTTTCACGTCTGGCAGAAGGGAGGAAATTGATTTCACAGTACATCGCTCTCTGACTCTCTTCTCTCTCTCTCTCTCTCTCTCTCTCTCTCTCTCTCTCTCTCTGTGTTTCTGTGAAATGGAACGAATGACATGCATCACGATCCGTGATCTGTATTGGCAGTTTACCTTGGCGCCAACCGATCCCGCCACTTCCAGGAGCCTAGTATTGAACTCGAGGGGTCTGCAATTGCATATCTTGTGCTGGAGTCTGAGGGCTTCCAGGCATCTCGCCGCGCCGTCCATCGCCTCCATCTGGCATAGTCGATCACCGGTCGCGGCCGCCGAGCCCATCGCGCTCTCATACTGTCGGAACGCTTTCTGCAAAATGTCCATCTTTATCTCACCGATGTTATCGCTCTAACAAGCCGACCGGCGTACACGATGCGTTAACTAAAGGCTAATTATATACTGCATCGCGATCGCCAACTAAAAGTCAGATTAAATTCAACAGGCGGCTTCTATTGCACGAAAGCGCAATCATGTGCATTTGGCATTCGCGCAGGCAGCAAATGAAACAAGCATCAGCGTTTGTAGTATTATTTTATTATGTAGAGAAAAGTACAATTATGAGATAAGCTCCTAATATGAGATAGCGGAGTTTACGCTAAATTAATAAGCATCATTCGTTGGTTCCACCACGAATTTATTGGCCTTAGAGTGAAATCTCTGTTTTCATGGACAATTGATTGTTAGATAGCGTAATCGTTGCGAAAAAAGATTTGTGATTGAATTTGGACGTTGAAAACCCACTATCTCATATTAGAATCCTATCCCATAACAGAGCACTTTCCTCTACCTATATAAATATTATAGGTGTGGCTTTATTCGTCGGGACAGGTAGAAGCTTAATATACAGGGTACTTAACGCGTCATAATAACGAAATTATTTAATAAATTACATGACATTTGATAAAATTACTGAAATGATCAGATATACATTCCCCAGCTTTTCGCGCACGAGATCTGTTTGTAATTTTAGCAAAATTTATAATCAAGCGTATTCTATCGAATACGAACAATCTCAGAATTACAGATTGTTCCTACTTTTCTCTGGCTTATAATTGCCGTATATTTTTGTTACCACTGCTGCTATATAATAACATTAATATCGAGATTATTTTATGGTATAAATTTATAATACATTGAATAGAAATGTAAGATTATAAATGAAATATACACCGTCAATTTATACGTACCAATGTGTCTAAATAGAAATACAAGCACGTGAATATAAACGAGTGTAAAATATGAAAGACATGTTGTCTTTTATAATACGCTCCTTTTATAGAAACATTTATGGAATCGTAATTTAATACAATCATACAAATGTAACGCTCTCGATAGTCCCCCTTGTTTCTAAGTGGATGTTTCATCAAAATTTTGCCATTCACTTTTCAACAATGCTCAAAGGGTTTTGTAGCAACAAAACAAAACAAAAGCGGTACGCGTTGCAAGCGTGGCACAGTGTTAAAATCGCTTTTGTGACACGCGTGACATGCAAAGCACGCTTCAGTTATGGCATTTTTTTATCGCCGATGACAGTACCGTAACAATGTTGGAACGAACAATGAGGCTGTGAACGGTTCTGATAGCATCGTCGCACTTGGCGTGAATGCTGATAAAAAATTTATCTGTTTTAATTTGCAATATGCAAATAAATATATCGGCGTTACTTCCTATTGCGCGATCGTACGTTTCAGCTTTTACACACACGGATGTTTGAAAAGGGAAAGATCTTTAAACGTTACTACCACTGTGCTTTGTACCGAATAAGATGAATCAAGAGATCCGGTACCCAGAGTGCGAAATGATTTGTCGCTCGATGTCGAGAAGATGCCGAATCGACATCGGCACCTTCAAATTGATGATCGCTTCGACATCGATCGACGAATCATTTCTCACTGCACGGAAAGACCGGCAAAAATAACTAAAATTCAAGTGTTACCGTATAAAATAGTAGGGGCATCTACATTGTTTTGTGTTGCAGCACCCACTAAGTTTGCTGCACAAAACGCATATAGTTGTCTCCACTACTTATCTTACCAACGTGCGTATCACAACCACAGATACAGCTGTCCCAAATATTACTATTGGTTGTGCCAACCCTAATTAAACATGTGGTAACCATATCGGTCTCTCCGTGTGGATCGTGTCTCGCGTCAAGTACAAACATAGCGAATACCGTGCGCGCGAGACCGACCGTGTATCTTTACGCGAGTTGAGAGGTCCTTAGATTATCGGATCTCGATAACGGCTAATGCGATGGACTTCTAAGTAGGCTCAATCAATAGCTTGGATGCAATTTACTCAATAGAACTGCTTTTATTTTTCGCCTACGTGCACTACGCAAACTTTACGCACGAGAATCTCGCGTATAACGTCTACTTGTTACTGACGTTAATGGAAAAGAATTGGGCGAGAAAAGCACTCGCGATATCACTGTTAGATTTGTCTGAAAGCTAGAGAAAGGGCATACCGCTAACTTAGTGCAAATTACTCACATTTATATCCGACTTTTTCCTGTAAATGTCTCCCATAATACGGATGCTTCGAGCGTAACTGGCTTGGTCGCCAGAAACCAGCGACAGCCTCGTTGCCTCCTGTGGACAATGCAAAGAAATGTTGATATCACTGATTAATCGTATTATTGTGGTGTCGATTAGTCGATACGATCTTTCCTGCACTGTAAAATTACACTTACAGTGGGTAATGTTGGGACCATCTATTAAAGGTGTATATTTACATACGCCAGTAAATTTACACCTCGTGGGCAAAATTATTACTTTATATAACAAGTAAACTTCTTGCTTTTAATTGTGTAAATTTTACAAGTTTTTTGTAATTTTTCATCATGTATAAACAAGTACACAAATTTATTAATAGTGTAATCCACTACACTTATTTATGTATGTAATTTTACATACTTTTTCTACGTGTGCGAAACATCCCCGATGAATTGCGCGACTACTTGCACAAAACTTCTTCTTCTTCGAAGACACTAATGTCTTTAATAAAATAACGAATGTGTCATTGAGGAAGAAGAATTGCGAGATCCCAAAGTGACGTTCGCGGAAACATTTGCAATATCGTTTTGATTTAAACCACCGGGCGGGACACAGTTTCGCGCTGATTCCTATCTTTGATCTGAACGTCATAAGTTTCTCTTCTCTCTCGCGCTCTCTCCCGCGAAACTTCAAGCTGAAACTTTACCGAGCAGTAATCATGAGCGTCGCCCAGCTCGCCCTTTTTCCTGAGCGCCGCGGCCATTTGTAGTAACGCCGCCCTGTGATGACGCGAATTCAGATCTCCCAGCTGTAAACTCCTGGAAAGATCGTAAGCTCTTGCCGCGTATCTCGCGCTCTTATCCGCGTCGTGTAATCTGCAGAAGAGTTCCGACAGACCGACGTACACCTGGAAAAGAAATCCCACGTAATTAGAGTGGGTAGTCGCCATCATGGGCGGACGAACTAATAAAGAGATCATCGAAGGAAAATTACTACGCGTGTCCTACTTCGAATAGATTTTATGAAAGTAAGAGGAGAACGTAATAGCAAAAGTATTTTTTCATTGCGATCTAATCTTCTTTCTCTCGCTGCGTCTCGGCGTTACAAAAGTTTCCGGAGCGAAGAATAAAATATTTCCTCATAAACTTGTTACTTTACGAAACAAAGTTTGACGCTATTTTTTGGGAATATAAATCATATGGAGGAAAAAGTCCCCTGTTATGAGATAGGCATTAATAGGCATCACCTGTTGGTGAATTTATTGCCCTTTGGAATGAAATCTGTTTAGTGGAAAATTGATTGTTAGATCGTTGCGAAGAAAGATTGGAATTTGGACGTTGAAAATGTACCATCTCATATTAGAACCCTATGTCATAATAGATGACTTTCCTCTGTAAACATAAAAGAAAATATACAAAACTGATATGCACGAGATAGCGCCGAGTGCACGACGCAAGTGTGTTAAAGATGCAGCTAATCGACTGTTCGAGAAATGAAGTAAAGATTAGGCGATGAAGGAGAAACGAGTTGGGCTCATCTCGCGAGTCACTGCAGCTGCCGCTTTTCTAATCGTCGCTGCGCCGTCCATTCATTAACAAACGTCGCAACAATAACTTGGGCGCTTACATACTCGTGCGAAAGAGGGAACTAGCAGACAAAGGGATCTAATTACCTGCAGTTCTAAGGAGGGATCTTGAATGGAGTGAGCGATTTTGTGGGCTCTTTGAAACGCTTCCAAGGCTTTACAGAATCCTGCTAGCTCTAAGTGGACTCTGCCTACGGTTAAGTGAACTAATCCAGCAGTCGCGCACTGATCGCACTCGTTATACAAGCTGCGAGAATGCAAGATGATTGATATTAGCGCACACACATGTACACATGGAAATAGTCAATACAATTATCGCCTAGACAATTTGTCTATTAATAACGAAGGATTCGATTATCCCCTTCAAATTTGAAATTGCCACCACTGAGCCCGAGTAATCGCATTAGGCACATTTCGACCCTTTATCAATAATCACAATAGCAGAGAAATACAGATACACCGCGTACGTTACGCGGGGAGAATTTTCTGTCAAAGTTTATCCCGAAGGTCATGCAATCGTGGAACAACGCGGCACTTTAAAGAACCTTATGGGAGTTTTCTGAAATTTTATCACACATTTTACTAATAAACGCTCATAAAGTTCTTCGAAATGCAATGTTGTCCCACGATTACATGATTTTCAGGATAAATTTCGGGACAAAATTCTCTCCGTGTACACGTCTATTTTACATTTCTCGAAAACGTTAACATTACATCATTCGTGCAGACCGTATAATAAATAAAAGAGGCTCAAACCTGTGCCGAGCGTAATCTAACGCTCTATCCAGGGCGCCTAATCTCTCGTGAGCCCTGGCCAAGTTCAAATACGCTTCCGCCCGCATGTTTGGCGAATCCAATTCCTCCGAAATGCACAATTGCTTGTTACCGAATTCAATGCTGTCTCTAAAAAGAAAAATTGCTCGATGGAAGAATCGCAGTATTAATATTGGAAAGGGCGACACTCTCGTAAGGAGGGTAAAACGGTCATAAAACTGGCAACTATCTTCGAAATATATCGAGTGCTCTTAACGTAGTAATTTTTAATGCGGTACAATATACTTTTCGTATTGAAATTAATTTCCGGCTTGATTCGCTTAAACTCCCGCATTTCTCTGGATTTTTAAAATAATATGGATAACACCGCGTACTTGGCTTGCGTACAAATAGCGCGTACAAAGATGGAAAAGAAACCAGTACAATTTGTACCATGATCTACCTGTATTTGCCCCAATCCATGTACGCCTGATACAAGTAACCGAGAAGAGCAAATTTATCCTCGCGGTGTCTGATGCTCTTCAAAGCGCCCCTCCATTTCCTAACCGCGGCTTGTTGTTTATGAGCCCGGTACAATTTCAAGCCCTGCTCCACCTGGGTCACACAAAATAATGGCAGCATTTCAGCACTTTGCACGTTCTATTTGCTTCGCGTGCTGATTTATTTATCGCGCAAGCCTCACAAAGGCCCGTTAAAAGTTTACGACCTCGGAACTTTCCCACCGCAGGGAGGAGAATGAAATTTTATTAATCATTTATCGTCCTTTTAAATCGCTCGTCTATAAAATTTACATCGCGTGATGTAGCACCTTATCTCGATAAGTCCTTGAATTTCCGCCGATCGCACGCATCCTTGTACCTGGACTATTTATTGGATATCCAGCACATTTCCTCATATCAATTATAGTCAGAGCCGCACGCCCAATGAGACCTTGAAATCGATGCTCATGAAATTGACATTGAGTTAATAACGGCCCTCTAAAGCGGAGATGTAACGTTCAAGAGCGTATGGGCAAGTCAAAGAGGAAATTACACGCACTATTAATACAGGCAATATTAATAGACGATAATTTTAATACGATCATTATAAAGCTCGTTGTTTGTGACTTACAATATAATTCTACAAAGTACGACACGTAGTTTCTATACACGAAGAGAATTTTCTTTTGAAAGTCCACCTCGAAAGGCATGCAATCGTGGGACAACATGGCATTTTGTAGAACGTTGTGATACTTTTTCCACTTTTACTAGTAATTGTACTTGGTATACATTTTACTAGTAAAATGTACGGTACAATTTCAACATCTTCCAAGCTCTTCAAAATGCCATGTTGTCCCACGATCGCATCATTTTCGGGATAAAGTTTAAGAAAAAATTCTCTCCCCGTGCACCTATAGAGCATTATGGTGTACAGATTTGCGGCATTACTGGGCATTACGAGGCATTTTTGGGCACTAGTTCGGGCATTAGGCCTAGCTGGGGCATATTAAGCTCAAATAAGATAGATAAAGTAAAACTGCCCACTGGGCACTGGTAGGCATTGGTGAACATGATTTTGGTCAGCGGTTTACCTCTCGACCTATATTAATTAGTTCTACATATTAATATATAGAAATGTCGTTTTGTATAAAGTTCTTTCAGGGAGAAATGTCAAAAATGTTCCGTTTACAGCGCTAAAAAAAGCGTTGACGAATTAAAGACGTCTTAAAGTTGCCTTTTAGACATGCGATACTGTATGGGATATTTCAGAAGTAAGCGTGGTCAGGAAAAAGAACTAATTAAGACAAAGAGGTTTATTATTGACAAAGAAATATCTACGTACCTCCGTGCTTTACTACATAATCGTTACCGCTTTCTTCTAAGCACTTTATACACCGGGGCACAAGTATTTTATGCCCTCTTCATAGAAATCCGCCACCTGGGAGTTCAGCGCCGTTACTTTCAACTTCTTGCTCCCCTCTCGAACCGTTGAAAACCAAGCCATACTTCTCGAGATATAGGAAAATGTGAAAATCACTTGGCGCGGTCTATAAGAAAGATGCTCGAAAATTTCCCCACTTAGCTTGCCGTACAAGTTATAATACAACGCGTTCACGTACATTATTGTGGAAGAGAACAATTCCTGATATCTCACGTTTTCTTTCATTTCAAAAAGTGGGGCTTGATTCTCAACGGTTCCAGAAGAGCGAGGCGTTGAAAGTAGCGACGCTGAACTGACTGTGCTCCCAAGAGGCGGATTTCTATACAGAGGCGTAGAAAAGCTGCGCCGATACAAAAAGCGTTTAGAAAAAAAAAAATAGCGACTTTGTAGAAATCTTTTCATTTCTTTTTTATTTCATTTCATATCTTTTCATTTAATTTGATTTTTCAATAACCGACCAGTTTTTATCTTTGAAGGGCGATTTGTATAATAAATTAAATGGAGCGAGTAAAATATGCTCCCTGGAATTTTTTTCACATTTTTCTGTAATTTTTGAAGAACTTTTCGAAAACGTTTTAAACCGTCATTCGATTTAATTGTTTCACACTGCCGCAATATCATGTAAAATTAAATTAATCTTATAACGTTAAAAGCGAGATTATATTGTACATGCAATTGGGACAGAGAGTAATATAGCACTGCATTCTAAATTGAATTTACTCAAATTGCCACCTAGTGAATAAATTCGTGTTTAGTTAACACTGTTCAATTATACGCCTTGTAAAGCGGGCTTCGGGTAATAGAGCTTCCCTATCCAGGAAGAAGAAGTCACGATACGTATTATGGTCTTTATCACGCAGCAATAGCTCTAGCGTAGATAATACGAGCAAAGGTAGAAGGCCGTATCGATTTGGCCATGAACTTTGTCCCTGGCGGATTAAACCCTACGATAAAATATAAATAGCCCCGTAAGGCTTATAAAAATGTAACCACGTGCGTGTGCACGACCGAGAGAGGTAATTCCTGTTCATTAAAATAATACACATATCGTATATAACGGGGCGAAGGTTTAGCGATACGCAAATCTGTTCGTTTGTCATAATTTTCGCAACCTTGCGATACGTCGAGAAATGTGATCTAACGAACCAGGTAGTAATGGCACTACTTACCACTAATTGCGTGCAAACAACCGTATTAGTGGCACACGGAAAAAAAAACAACTTCTCTCTACCATAGGTAATCGTGGTTTGGTAAAAATACTTTACTGCCATAACTATAAATTACTAAAGCACAGCAAACGGTTTGCTCTCGCACCCAATACAATAGGCGGAGTAGCAAAATATTTAATTATCACAACTAAATATTAGCTGTCCATATTTTACACACACAAAAAAAAATAAATTTAGTTGCCACATGCAGTTTTTAGCTACGGCAGCCACATTTTTCTTTCCGCGTGCAGTATTCAGGAAAACTAAACAGATTGCTCGCGAGGTTGCATGAATAAATCATAATCTTTATAATTATCAATATAATATGAAAAAGAAACTTGTCCTCGGACAATTATTCTTGTGACAATTTTTTTCTTTGCCTCTCTTTCTTTCTCCGCGTTGAAACATTAATAATTCATCAAAGTTGTAGCGAACTCGTAATTGTAGTGATTCAACAATTTACTAAATTGTTGCAATTGGCGTGTATATAACAAAGCATTAAATTGTTGCAGCCATTTTACATAGGAGCTTATAAAAGAGGAAAATCGTGAGTTTCGATGATGACTCTTCAATGAATAACACGGCTCGACAATATAAATTTCACGCTCTTCTACAGCCTTACAATCCGATTGAGTTATCGTGTAGCCTTGATTAAAACGTAAGCGCAAATTACGCTTGTTACTACTTGAAGCAGGCGTCATGAATAAGCTGTCAGACGCGAGACGCGAAATCATAAGTTTCTCTGGGTGAAACGCATCCAGAACGGTAAATACAGTGCGACCGGTACTTCGGTTTTAGTGGTTACGAAAGGATAGCGTGACCGCAGCTACGGGCATGCACATCGTGAACTTGACAGTGACCGATAAAGCATACTCGAGTTCGCGAAATACGCTTCGTTATGTAGCCGTCATGCCCCGTCGTTTGCTTGAGAGGGCCCTCAGATACTGTTACCCGTTTGACATATTACCCCCCCCCCTCTCAATCGCTTTGACGCGTTAAATGGGTTCAATGGTTAATGGTCTAGTAGCAGTTTAAAGAATCAATTATAATTGAATTAATTTGTAAGATCATTAATAATTCGGTAAGTGTTACCGTGGCGTGCAGCCAATTCCGTTTCTAAGCGCGCTTGTCTAAAATTATAATCGCTCCTTCAAGATAAAACACTTGGCACGCATTTCCAAGTAGGAGCTTTATTAATAAATTGACACTCGAATCGAATTGAAACGCGCGTTAAAACTTAAAAATAATGACGACATTATTGTATATCGTGGACGCGATATTGATATCTAACGCATTTCTGGGATATTTCAATTAATTCTTTACATTTATAGCTTGCAATTATAATAAAGTAATAGAAATTCGATGAAAATATCAGTTTAGGAAGAATTTATGTGCTCACTGAATTTCTTATATATTTTCATATATTTATCTTCATTTCCATTTATTAAATGTGTGATTAGTTATGTTACTAATTTAACGTTTCGTTTAAAATATAATAAAGGAAAGTCCCCTAGTATAGATAGACTTGTAATATGAGATAGCGGGGTTTGTGATTGAATTTGGGTGTTGAAAACCTGCTACCTCATATTAGAAACCTGCCTCATAATAGAGAACTTTCTTCTAAATACCTTTTCTAGAATTCACCGAAATTTATTATCGGATGTAATTTCTTAGCAAGACTCTTATTTATTGAAGATCGTCTATCTACTAGATCTAGCCATTCATTTCTACTCGTCCCACGAGAATTAAGGAGCGCGGATACATGGTGAGATACTTACCCTCCTTCGTGCTAATTGTTGATCGAGTCGTTTTCTGCAGCTTATGAGACATTCCCATATACCGGTGCCCGACCTGCCATTTTGGTAATGACCGTTATTACCGTTGCCATTTTGATGCCGGTAATCCTCTTCGGTGAACTCGCAGACGTCGAGTGGATGCCTCGATCCATCAGGGCTACCCAACAGCGCGGTCGCCGAGAGTTGATGACTCGCCGATCTGCTGTAAATTTTCAAAACGTTCAATGATATAATACACCAACGGGACGGATGTCGGCGCAAATATTAACTCTTTAGATAGAATTATCGAGCACTTCATACTTGAGCCACTTAACGTTCGTTATAAATCCGATATTCCGCTGTTTTTCAATATTCGCTATGAGACTCTCAGGAGTATCATTTGTTTTGCAATTGTTTTGTGAAATTATTAAAAAGCATCATTACGAGATAATTGAATTTAATTTGTATCGTTGGAAAATCCGCTTAGGCGGTCATCACTATCGCTGACTGTTTAAAGATAGCAAGGGTCGCCTCGAAAGAGAGCAACCGTGGAATTCCATACTCTCCGGTAAAATCCGATGAAAGGAATTTAAAGAAGACGTAACTGAGCTCTCTCTCCGATATTTTCGCAGCATCGATCGTTTAAGCTCCGTAGGAGTTCCGAAATTGTTTCTCGCTCAATGGGTGATTTGTACTTGCGATATAATAAAGTATTGTTCACCTCGCGGCTATTTGCTTAAATCGACGACGTATAAAATTACACAGTAAATTAGTATGTGCAACAATTATATATCATAAGCACAAATTACAACATTTAAATTTTATCACGATAGGAAGAGACTTGATCTACGTATGCTATTTGATATACATTCAATTATGTTTTTCAGAACCATATACTTGTTCCTCGTAAAAATATTCTCTCTACTTGTTACGCTATCATTAATTATTACGGTTTATTGCAATAAAACAGTTTTTATTTAAGACTGACGATTTTTAAGTCGGCGCGCAGTTCTCGTTTCGAATATTGTCACGATAGGTGGCATTCGGGAATCGACATTAGACTGTTTATTGCGATGAATATTTCCACATGCCTCGGTGGTCGAATTGGTTGTGACGCCTAGTGAGAGGGTGGTCCAAGTTCAAACCCTGTCTGGGGCAATATTTTTCGTAATTTTAAAATATAAAATATTTAGGCACTAACACCCTGTCACGGCTCGTGGTCCTTTATCCCTTCAAATTTGTGTTTATCACATTTAAGCCGTACGAATTTTATTAATTTGCAAACATTTGTTATTGCAACAATTGATGCTATATTTAAGTTAACACCCAGTCAAGAAATAGTACGATTTACATCGTATGCGATAACATGTACATTAAAATTATGCTATTAATATGATTTGAAAATGTGATTGAACCAGCATTTTGAGCGTAAAGCTTCTCGCCACCCCAGTCAATATCTCGCGAGTGCGTGTCAAACGTCCGTGTTGGATGATGGATGTGGGCAACTGACCTCCTATAGGTTACATGCGCAGACTCTTAATTTATTTCTAGGACGAACGGAAGGAGCGCGCGGAGATAAACCGCTTTTGGCTGCCGTCCCAGAGGTTGAGTTTGCAAACTGCGCGTTAGGGAAGTTACAAGGTACACAGGGTATCCCGTATGTAGCTACCACATCGCTCCTCACTTATGAATTTCTGGATCAGTTCTCAGTCGACGGGAATTTTTCCCTCTGAAAACTTTACTTTACTATACGACCCATAAAACGAGCTGTATCGCATTATAACGAATACTAATCGTTTTAATATATCGAAAATGTTGTATCAAAGTACGCGCTACAATTGGAAAATTAAACGGAAGGTAAATTGTAATTGCCTTTTATTATAAATCTCTGCGCAACTGACTTTTTCAAAGGGCCAATCACGTCTAATTGCTTGCAACTCCAGAGAGTCACCATCTTTTTACCTCCTCGCGAAAAGAAAAGAAAAATGGCTCCATATTGATCGAACAGTCCCTAGCTGAAAGGTAGCGAGATATGTCTGGGACACCCTGTGTAGAATCAGAGTTCTTACCTACCCTACCGCAATGCGACCACTGCACATTTGCTCTATATCCTAGAAAACTGGAATTTATTTGTATCGTTTCTCTTTCGATTCTGCGCCGAGGCATAGCGAAACTCTTCACCGGAATACATGCCCGCCTTAAATTACGGTCATCAACTACATTCTCCTCTTTCCTTTCCCTTATGTATTCGAATACCAAATCATATTTTTTACATAGCTTCACGCGTTACACATTTATACATATTTGAACGTTCAGAAAAATGTCAAGGTTATTGTTTCCACCAGGATGTATTCCATATATCCAGTCTACCTATTTTTTCAATGAAAGGAGTTTTACGAGTAAATATCTCCAGACTCTTTTCGTGTTAAGGGGATGCTGGAGTCTCTCTGTTTTACCGACATTTTTTATATAAGGATATCTTTTAATTGGCTTTACAGAATTGTAAATTCTTGTATTGGCATGTGTATTGGCATCTATTCGATCC